CTTTTTCAAATTCACTTTAGATTAAGGTATAAAATCTCATACACAAAACTTAATGAATTACTTAGGGAAATAAGGTGTGTATAACTTTACTCAGACAACAGAAATTTTTTAGAAGTTTATGAGATTTTAATTCCTTAACTTTTAGACTTTAAGTGCAACTTTTAGATAATTAGATGTCATCTTAATTGAAGAAGTTTCAATGGTAGACCCTGATTTTTTATCTTTATTGGATATCTATGCACAAATCAGTCGTTAGTGTGCTTATCCTTTTGGTGGAATACAAGTCTTTTTATTTGGTGATTCATTCCAGCTTCAACCAGTAGTTCAAAGACGTTCCAATTATTTTGATTCACACATCTTCAAAAGTGGGTATTTCACACATATTATTGAATTAACCTAATCTGTGAGACAAGCTGAAGATCTGGAATATTTTGAGAAAATCTTACAGCCTGTTAGATTTGGAGAATTTCACGAAGATGCAAACAACTTTTACTAACAGATTTAAAGATTAGAATAGAGAATTATACCAACTAACTTTTTTGCTCCTAATTAGATTGTCAAAAAGCAACTTGATGATATCCACTCTTAGAATCAACAAATAATTTCATTGTTCTTTAAAAACGAAAATGTTGAATAGGAAAACCAATACAGAGCAATTGAGATGATCAAAAGAATCGAGGAGAATAGGAAGAAAAGGAGAATGACAAAAAACGCTTCAGATAATACCTTAGGTAACCAATTCAATTCAGTTGGTCGAATCAAAAATCAGAAGATGACAAAATGGCTTTATTGTTAGGTCAAAGATTCCAATTTAAAAAGGAGATATATTAAGCCAATTTTGATCATCAAACTCATTTCTTGATGCTCCCAATTGGAATTAGAAATTATCTAGCTAAACAACTTGGAGAAATTGCATATAGAGTTGCAATGAAGTAAAAGGATTTAAATAAAACATTATGCTTGAAGGAATTGACTCTATTTGAAAAAGCAGAAATAGTCTTAAGAAAAAATTTGGACAAATAAGAAAATTTGATCAACGGATAATTTGCCATTATTTCTGGACTTGATTTTGATTGTGATTTTATGAACCCTTATTCGATGAGAGAAGCTGAAAGTGGGCATCACGATTACATCAAATCAAGAAATTATTTTTATATGATAGAAGAAATCAAAAGAGACAACATCATTAGATTCACAGAATAAGATAAAAAAGAAATGAATTAATACCTATAAGAAAAATCAGCTTTGAATATCAATTATCTTAGTGAAAAAGATGTTACTCAGGCAGAAAAAGGATTAATCTATTTGAAGAATGTTGAGCCAAGACTACACAGAATCAGAATCAAAATTGGAGA